AAATGACGAGTGTTTTGGAAATCCCAAACACATTAAATGGTTTACAATGTCAAAATCAAAATATACTCTTCTATAAAGACCCTTAGTTTAAATAGGAAATCTAATCTATTGGACTGAGTTATGAACAAGACATAAACATGCACAGGCCGCCAAGAACACATTCGAAATGAACGTTATACAGGGTGTTGATTAATTGAGTGCCGATAATACAGGGTGTAAATCCTCCGATGATTTTAAGGAGAAAAATTTATATCAACACTCGGTCCTAAACCTCTTGGTTTTTGAGATACAGGGTGTTAAAATTTTAAGAAAAAATTTTTTTTATCACTCTTAGATATTTTTATGATATTTTGTACACACACATTTTCAATATTAAGCATATTTTGACGTAAAAGATTGCTTACTATTTTTGACTTCTCTAAATTAAATTCAGGGAAACTAACCATCTCGTGAAAGTTAATTCATAACATCTTTCACTCAATGGTTAAAATACCCCTTTATCGTCTTGTATAATAAATAACTATTAAATGTGTATATTAGTCAATTTCAAAGACACATCGATTTTAATGCAATGCCATTAATGCGCTGCTTTAAACAATTAATTGTAAATAGCCGACCGCGTCTTCGGCTGCTGAGCGTTACGCATGAGAAGATTTTACCCCCGTCCAAAACAGATTATGTACCTACACCGAGCGATAAGAGGTAGTCACTTCAAAAACATGACTTCTCTGTACACAATTTAGGTACACTTCTTTGGTAATTTGGCGATTTTGTATTAAAAAGATTTATGGTAAAATAATTAAATAAAACGGATTAAATTGTTTTATTACCCTAATTATAAGGCGTTATTGCACTGATTGTCAATTTAATAATAGTTTGTACTTTGCAAGCGTACATTTTAGTATCCTCAATTCTGAAACTATACATTCCTTATCCTAGTAGGCATGAACTATCGTTATTTGCACAAGATTATCGTTATTCAAGTCACATGCTCAAGCCATCATAAACTGCAATCGTTTAATAGTTCTCACAAAGTATCCTTATCTAATGATTGCTCAAGAATATCAATACCATTACGCATTTTTAAAGGATTGGATAACTAAATGATGATAAAATGGACTGAGTGAAGTTAATATAAAAATCAATAAACGTGACCCACTAAAGCCCACACAAAACTGTAAACAAATACATTTTTCTCTTTCCGATTTTGACCATACATAACGAACTTAATACTTTAAATGAAAAAAATATAGACCATAGCAGCGATCCATTAGCGAAACCCCGAAGTCTCTAGGTGGCCCAGGGGCCGAGATCTCGATGGAACAGACAGACCGACAGATAGACGACGGAAAATATAGCACATAAGCGCTACCTCAACTTCGTTGTGTTATGCTAAACAATTTTATTTGCTGTTGACTAGCACAGGTCCCACCTCTGCGCCTGCACGATTCTGCCCAAAAGCTTTTGAGCTCTTGCTTTTATGTCTAAAGGCATGTCCACATTTGCAACAATGTCCCGTCGCCAACATCCGCGCCGCGAACTCGGTCGCAGATCGAGATTCGCCGCGATCCATGAGTAGTCGGTTTTTCGAAAGATTACGACGCATGATGTACTAGGACTAGTGTGTACGCGACGTTGTTCGGTTCGACGAAATTCAAAATGTACGGTTCGAAATGCGGGTTCGCGACAAGGTTCGTCACGGAATACTGTTGCAAATGTGGACATGGCCTTAAGTTAACAATACCTATGTGTACCGTATACCAAATATAGCTCCAATAGGTTCAGCCGGAAATGAAAGTACAGACAAACAGCCGACATCATCGAGATCTTGTATGATTTCGGATTCCTGGTGCTTTAAAATGTGTAATGTGTATTTCAGCCAAAAACAGTGGGGGGTCATTACATCCCTTACTAACGTGCGGATGGTAAAAGTTGTTTTTATTTTTCACAATAGAAAAATTAGATATCAATAGATAAAATTAGCAAACAATATAAATGTTAATTTCGTTGGAATTTAATATGTTGTTTTGTATAAATTCCGATTAGACACTTTGTGTACTTTACTCCTCCGTTATTATTATGGAGAATTATGAAAATAATTTTATGCATGACGGAAAATTTTAATTCGTTAGGCAACGGCGTGAGAAAAATATGTACTTACTAATACTCTAAGAAACTACTTTTACAGATTAACTTACATACCAAAAGTCTAGGACAGAGGTTGCAGATTACTTGTAAATGTCTCAACTTCTAGTCCTCTAGAATTGTTGAAAATTTTACAGGAATCTATCCAATTTAGATAGGAAGATGAGCTGAAAATTTGTATATAGGAGCATTATATGCCATATGGAGATATTACAGACAAAATCACCATTAATGCATCAATTTCTTTGGGAAAACGCCCGAAAAGATTCCAGCAATACCAAAGAAGTTAATTTTATGTATTTTCCCTAACCACATTGGTTTTATTAAGACAAATTTTCCGTTGGAAAAGTTCAAAGCATCCATGCATTGTTTCGACCGGGAATTCCCAGGTCTTATTTTAGAGAAATTTAAATTCTCCCATACAAAATGAAATTTGCTACAAGTTTTACTCGGTCAAATTTTCGATATCTTATAGTTTTTGAGATATCCGCTCTTAAAAGTCCGTAATTTTGAAAAAAAAACATTTTTGCCTCTCATTTTTTTGCTCTTTTTGATAAATTTGATTTGATAAATACTTAAGTGTTTTGTTTGTTTCAGTGGGATCTTTTGGTGTCACATTTAAAGATGTCGTGAGTGTTGTGTCGTCAAAATGAGCAGAAAGTGGTTTTGTTTGTGATGAGGAGTGCATTGAGTTCTCATGTCTCGGAGGTGGACCAGAAAGAGATAGTTTTCCTTAAAAAAGCCAGTAAAGAAAGAGGAAAATCAGCCAATGTGACTTGACTTCTCGTCCACACAAGGACCCAATCGATGGCGGCTTTCAAGAAACAAGAGACATTCAGCCTAAAACATCAGTGCTGCGATCTGCATTTAATTACCCATGTTCATATGTAAATAGAACAAGGAAAGTGTATCATAGAGCCCCGTCCCTAAAGTTGTTAATTACACCGCCCCGGTAGTAGTCATTTCAGCAGTATCATAAAGCATTTGTTTGTAATCAGTAAAAAAATACAATCTTAAGCGAAGGTTAAAGCCCTAAAAATACATACGTAATGAGAACAAGCTAAAAAGGTGGGCACTTGCAACCGAGCTTGCGACTGACGAAGGCGCATTTTTCCCGCACAGAATCAGCAATAACTTGGGAAGGAAGTGACGAATCCAAATAAACTGTTGTTGTTCTGGTCTCTGCGCTTTAGGCCTACTATACGGTATAAAAAAGAAACCACAAGGAAAAAGCTTAAACTGGAGGACTAGTAGTGGTACAGACGGATACAGGGCGGACCATAGCGTTCCTTTTACTTTTGGAAAATATGCTAAAAATATGCTGCGTAATGATGCAACATACCTCGTATTGGTTAAATGCAAAATACAGAAACCATTCCAAAGTTAAATATGGTAAAATCTAAACAATAATCCCTTTTTACAGGTAACACGCGTAGTCAGTAGGAGTAATGACGTTCACTCCTCATCCTTCTACAACTATTCCTCTATGGGTCCGCATTTGATGCCACCCAGCCAGCCGGCCCGAGATTAAAAGCTACCTTTTTACAAATAAATTTGCGATAATGCGCTAAAAACTGCCGTGGTCTGAACGAATATTGTTTTTAAAAAATTTCAAATTACCTATGGCCATGAATCGATTTTGGCCTTTCACAATTACAGGTTTCCTCTTTTTTTAATTTTCAAACATTAATTGCAGATTAGGAATTTTCATCTTAACAGACCACCAAATACGAAATTTCGTTGAAACATTTTTTATCTAGCTTTCATTTTGGAGGAGGGTCGCACTTTTGGAAAAAAATGTTACAAAAAAAAAGGTGTAGGTACTATCTTCTTGACACGTCCAAAAAACAAATTTTAAAAGTGCTTCCAAACCAAATATTTGAGACTGAAAAAAAAATGTTTTGGTTCCCAAAATGTAGCCCATTAACATAAAATATCACTGGCTTGTATTTCCTATTAAGCTATTCCAGAGGAACAATCCGCGGATGGTTTTTGGGGACGCTGTTTCCAATCCGAAAAATATTCCTATTCCGAAAAAATCTCAAATTTTGTATTTTAGAATTTTAAGGAACCCAAACTGTCGAAAATTTGAAAGAACATGTGGAGGAAAAAGTGCAATCGTAGACATTCAATTTCCAAAAGCCTGATTAATTCATGTCGAAAAATTCCCAAAATCTAAATGTTTTTGTAGACCCGTGTTGGAGTAGGAATTTTACAAAATTCCAAAAAGCGTCCTGATTTGCATGTGTGTTAAAAAATTAAAGCAATTCCAAATTTAGAAAGTTTGGAAACGCAGCTTGTGAATGAAACATGGACCTTTGATTTGTTTGTTTTGGATCCCCAATGCCAATTTCAAAATTATAAAGGAAAACTACTGATTATATTTGTCAGCTTCAAACAAGTTATAATGAATTATGCCGCAACGTTAGAATCTAATCAATAGTGATATGAGAATTTACTTGATTGAATGTATACGTTTTTCAACGAGCGTTGTGCACAAGAAGTTCATAATCATTAAAATGCACAAAGGTCCAAAAAAACCGTGCAGACTGGTTTACATTATGATCCTAAATTGAATAAATTTTCGATGGATAAATTGAAAGACATAATTAGCAAAAATGAGCAAAAGAAAAGTCATGATATAACATACCACCTCATGCATCCAACTATCCATTTTCTACATGTATTAATTTACACATGAATTAAGTTGGAAGTTTTAAATTAACTTAAGGCACTGTTCCTAATCACGTGCAAGTAGTTTCTTTAAATTTCAAATATAACAACACGAAAATGTTGGCACAAATTCTAGATTAAATCACACAGATTTATTTAAGACGCGATTTATCGAAACCTACATAATTTGTATGACGATAGTCCTTGAAGAATGTTTCCTTTTCGCGAAAGAAAAATAAACAAATAAATCGAAAATTGAAATAAAGCGGCTTTCGGTTTCGCATCTGCCAATATCAGTTATATACTACTACTGGCCGTTGCCCGTTACTACGCGAATAAACGACGTGACCACGTGTGTTTAACGACGACGATATTCCTTCTCCGATTCGGTCGAAATCGGAAATGCCAGAAAACATTTCCATATAATATTATCAACGTGCCTCAAAGAACCACGATAAGGACGATAATAGTTCAGTTGTTGTGTTTACCTTTTCTGATATTTGCAATTTTATCTGCAATCTGGATCTTCCTCGCAAGTGCAGAGCAGAAATGGCACGATCACAGAAAATCCTATTCACCTTGATAATATAATTAAAAATAAGTTTGTAATTAAACCATAAAATAATTGAAATTTAAAACTTCCATTCTGTTTATCGCCAATTGTGTTAACTTATAATGCAAATTTAATAATTGGCCATTCTCTCGACATCGCACCCAAACGTTTTTATTGACACAACTAAAGTTCAAAACGTAATCTGGGTTAGTTTAATTTTTTTGCTGATACCCTTGCGTGTTGTCCAAAATGGTTCCGATTAAATAGCCATACTTCGCCATACGACAAAGGAGGTCAAGTTCATTGCCATAGATTTGAAATTATTAAAAAATGCACAAGCGATTTACTATTTACATAAAAGCCCATTTCAATCAAGTGTCAGTTTAAGTGCTATCGATTTAATTTTCTCTATTCACTTACTAGTTCCACTTTTATGTGATTTAAAAGAAGGTTTCTGATTGCTAAAATGTTTTTTTTAATTTACGACTACTTTTATTACCATTTTTTGTGTTGCTCAGTCCTTAAACTTCATTGAAATTTGACGCTTTTACCTATTGCAGCTGCTTTGTTTATTTGTCTGCTTCGCCTCGATAAAACCCAGAATATGGGTAACAGTTTTCATAAAATACCGATTACCAACGTCTTATTTGTAAAAATTTGTTTACCATATAATTGTTACTAATAAATGCAGACCTAGAGGTTCGGTAAAAAAATAATTCATTGACGTATGCTCGAAAAACCCAAAATCTATTCTAAACCGTGGAATTTGTGTGGAAAAAAACGACGAAATAAAAAGTAAAGTAGGAAGTAAAGGAACTGTTTATATTTCGGCTATATATTCTTTTTTTTTTACCTTGACTACCCCCAATGCCTATTCTCCAAGTGTGCAACCGTGAAATTTTGGGGTTCATACATTTTTGTCTGAAGTAGCAAACAACAGCTTAGATATTCCTAATGTTCATCTCCACCACAACAAATAACTTGAAACTATAATAACAAATCTTGAAATTCTCTACTTATCTAATTTTATATCATTGATTGATAAATATTTATCAATCAACGCTTATTATTATCACCATCAATGGTTGTTATTCCAAGTACAGCTTTTTTGCCGAACTGCCTTTAAACAATTAAAAATTTTAACTTTTTTATACGGGGCGCTGATAAGTCTGAAAACGATCGATTATCGGGGAAAGTATAGGTACAAGGTATCAAAAAAAAATTTATACAAAAGATTTAAGGTGACCCAAATGCAATCGTTTCCGAGTTATAGAGTTTTGAATATAAAAGGCATTGCTTTAAAATGTATTCAATCAAGAACAATAATTAATGACATCGCGAATTTCTTTTGAAAACGTTCTGTAGTTATGATTGTTTGGAATCATTCATTATTGTTTTTTATTGAATTATTAATGAATTTTAAAATAATACAGTTTATTTTCAAAATTCGATAACCCGGAAACTATTGAATTTAGGTACATGATGCTGATTACAAATTTTGCACATAATTGAGAGAATTGAAATATTGAATAATATACAAGATGTTCCATTTAAAAAATGCGATTTTGGTGTGCCGCGCCTTTATGAGCAACCCTGTATAACTAAAATTATTACTGCCTAGTAGACCTTGAAGACCTCCAAAACTTTGTATAAAACATATTTCGGTATCTTGTCTATTTTCCCCGACCGTCGTCCTTTTCCAGACTTATCAGCGACCCTGTACAGTACGCCTCCGTACATACGTGGCGAAACATACATGACTTCAATAAAAATAAGCATATACAGCCTGATTCAAATTCACAGTGGTTGATTTGCTGGACAATAAAACGTAACTCATAATAGTCGCCCCATTCACCTCAATCCCTATCTAGACTCCAGCGCGGCAACTACAGGTGGTTTAGAAGTTTACCTTGTTTTCGTGTAACTTCCTAACTCCGCTATGCGTCTTTATATTTTATAAGAGCCTGATGTTACACGTACTTACCGTTGATATAAGGGTAAGTGGCAAACTAAAGCGTGGAACAAGAATGATGCGGGTAGAGGAAGTTGAAAAGTAAAGAAAGTGCCCATGCCTGCGCAGAAAATCCACCGACAGGTGACGCAATACTAGCGAATCTCAAACAATTAATTACAGTGACTATACTTTTCAATGAAAATGCAAAATACCATGTAGCGATTTTAGTTTCTCCATTACACAGAATTATTATTGTTTACGGTTTATTACTTGTTGAAAGATCCCCGTAACTTTTGAAGCGATTTTGATAAATGGATCCATCTATTGATGGAATTTAATCAAGCAATTTCCTTTCCTTCATACGCGGTATCGCTTAATAAAAAACAGCTGAAAGCGTGAGGTAGAACACATGGAATTTTAATTGCCGTCTTTCGTATATATTGCTCTCTGGTCCTGGCGATTGATTGGATTCATAATTTGGGGATTCCAAAGTAATTAGTTTGTGAGGATATACATTTGCGTACTTCCTTTCTTATCGTAAGTATCACCATTTGCATTTCGTTGATTTAGAGTGTACTTTCTTTTTTCGGCTGTAATTTGTTATACTGCAATTCATCTACGATCAACTCTCTTATTTATGACGTAGGTAAATTTTATGCCATCAACGAAGGTAGGTTACCTTTGATTTCTTTTAGGGTCTTAGTTCCAGTTTAACTTCAACTTTAAGGAATAGTTTAAGTTCCGGTTTACGTTCAATTTTAAGCTCCGAAACACATCTGACATTGCATACGATTCAGTTCGACGTGCAAGTTTCGTACCCGTGGACAGAGTTGGACTGGGTCAAGCATAGAGTGACCAAGTAACCCGGTGACCCAGTTAGTTTACTGACCCAGTGACCCAGCTTGACCCGGTGGCCCAGTTTGACCCGGTGGCCCAGCTTGACCTAGTGACCCATCTTGACCCAGCTTTACTCAGTGACCCATCTTGACCCGGTGGCCCAGTAATTAAATTATTGTTAGGTATCATCCAAAACAATTTCAAGTAACTTTTAATTAAAAAAAAAAACTTCCTCAATAATATTCGGCAACAAGCACGTAGCCCAATTTCATTCAAGAGAACTAATACCTAAAAAAATCAAATGCATTTGTTTATAGTTTGTAGTCAAGTAGTCAATGAAAGTATTTAGAGAAAATATTTATTTGGATTAAGCTAACTAGTAGAAAAAAATTAAATGTGAATGAACACCTGTAAGCAAACTGGTAAACCCTGAAGCAAAGAAATGAAAGAGGGAACTGTTTAGAAATAACATTACTCTAATACAATTCGGGCCATGGAAAGTTTTTTACGGCAGTATTAAAGCAAACATCACAGAAATGGCAGTTGTCAAGCAATCGAGTATTATTAACAAACCAGCATTTCATTTATTTCATAATCTGTACACTTGAACCGAGGGCACTGCGTTATTCGATCAAACTAGGTTACTGGGTCGAATTGGGTCTCCGGGTGAAATTGGGTCGCTGGGTCAAACTGGGACACTGGGTCAAGTTGGATCACTGAGTCAAACTGGGTCACTGGGTCTAACTGAAAAGAATATGACGTGACCCAGTGACCCAGTCCAACTCTGCCCGTGGATTAAGTGCACCATCGTCTGCGGGTACCGACGCCCTTGACTTATCTTTCCACCTGGTGATAACAAGCGGTCATTTTTCTGTGAAATGGGTCACGGAGTCATGAAGGAGATCTAATATCAAGGAGCGATCCTCATAAGGGACAACTTCCGTAATTCTTTAGTGTCTTAAGGTGGGTTCATAGCTCTCCGTTCATCCGTTGCGTTGATCCGTCAAACGGATAGTACATTTTGTTAAGGTTCATAGCAATCCGTCCCCTTTGTACATTTGCAACGTATAACCATAACCTAAATTTTATTTTGTACTGTACCCTCCGTGATTTTCAGTATGAAAAAATGGTACGAAAATAAGAACACGTTGCTATCTGAATATCACCGTGAAGAACGAATAGGCGAACACTGTTAACGTACCAAACATAACCTCACTCTTGTTAAAAACGGACCAACGGAAACGTAAATGTTCAACTTCAACCAACTTTTCCGTCGTAAACGGACGACGTACGATTTAAAAATTTGCTGCCTTCTGATTGGCTAACGGACAAACGGAAACGTATGAACGGAGAGCTATGAACTTACCTTTAGTTGATAATTATTTTGCCACTTAAGGGTTATATGCGATTACATTAAAGTAGTTTGTGAATGTTAGTACCTCGGTTAGTACCTACTCAGTATCTTTGCCATCTCGGTTAAGTTATGGTCGAGTTTGAAATGCGTATGCCTCATAACGAGCCTCATAATAAAAGAAATTAAGAAGATTTTTTTGTATTTCAAGTGCTAAAGGAATATTCAGAACGCAAAATACATACATATGTACTTTCGTATGTACTTTTCACTCGACTTTTCAAACTTTACAAAAATCAATAGATTATAGATAGATAACGCTTGTGGAAAATATTGATTAATTACAAGAAATTATGTAGGCGTGTACGAAAATAAACATATTTAAGACCAAAATTTGCCAAATATGCCATTTACGCTTACGTACCCTCAGCTTTAACAAAAATACATCAAACAAAAAATGTTCAGTCTAGCGCTTTGAGAATGTCTAAATATTGGGAACAGATGATTGCAGGCGTCTTTAACCCAGTAAATCGCAATTGCAGTAAGTTTTAAAAATAAATGATATTACATTAACCTTGAAATAAACTACGCAAAATTCCTCTAATACGTTGATTGAACAAAGAAGTGCA